CCTTTATTAGCATTCTAATTTTAAATGCGTTTACACATTCTTTGTATTTTTACGGCGTTAGTTAATAAAGTCAGATGCTGCAATTCTCAGGAATATTATTCGGTATTGTGTTATCCTCTCCTGAGCTAATCTAAATTAACTTCGGGTGACGTTTATTAGGGGTAGACCACCGTGATGGCGCGATTTCCATAAATTCGTCAAAAAAATGGCGAACCACAGCATTCTTCGGGCTGTACGTGTCATCGAATTAGTATTACAGATCTAATAATAAATACCGAACTTATAATGAGTGGATGCATACTAGTTGTAGTTGTTATCAGGTTGTCAAGCAGCTCTGATGAATTACTCGGACTAAAAATATTAATGATCTGTTTTCTTCTTCTTTAACACGTTTCGTGTTCTAAAAACGTTTGTTTACCATTACGAACAAATCGACGACTTTTTCTTATTTTAGTCATTAGGCAAATGAGCTACTGGGTTACGGATTGTTCAGATATAAATAAATCTGCCCGAAATTTTGCTGCACCAGGACATCATAATTGCCAATGGCATTCCTAGGATAAATCCGTCAGGACTGATCGATAACTTCAGGGAACAAAAATCTCTACCTGTTTCGAGGCGACCTAAAATCGTGATGGTGACTTCAAAAGTTTAGCCGCCGTTAATGTTGTGCTACGGCAGTTATCCGCTCCATTAAAATATACAGAGGAGCAGATTGTTTGTGAAGCTCTGGTATTTAGTTGGCTAATTCATCTTAATTTCCGACGTTCTGCTCACTTCATCAATGTCAGAATAACTACAGAAGCGATATTATCGCTGCCAAATGGAAAGGCACAATTCTCGTTATGAGACACCCACCCTTCCGGTAAGGTTAAAAATTTAATTACACCTAAAGCCCTATATGAAAAAAAAGTATCTCTCCTAATTTATCGTAATCCGACAGAGAAAGTCTGTGCGATGTGATTGGACCTCCTCCATCTTTATAAGTAAGTAATCCGCTTACGGGATTAGAAAAGTCATTTCGGAATCTTATAAGAAAGTTTCCTCTACATATGCAAGGGGGTTACCCCAAAGCCGTCTTGAAATTAAAATTACTTTTATTCTGCGGTAGTAATTTATTAACCGGACGCGTGGGCATCGAATTCAATCGTTTTAAGTGTGGATCTCAGGTTCCATCAGATACAAGAACAATAAATCACCGGACAATCGCCATTATGTGTACAGCGACTGTGAAATAAGAGGAATGGCCATAGTTTCTAGAATTACCACTTTATCTATTCCATCGTTGTCCCCTCGTATATGATCGCTACAAGGGTAGGACAATATTTTACAGTATTTAATCTCGCCCTGTCAATCTCTACAGGAAAAATCATATTTAATATTGATTGGAATGCTTTCTATGTACCATACATAAATTGTACCTTGATACTAACAGTGTAATTAAATAGAAAAGCAATTATTGCAGAACACGACTTTTTGTTTTTGTTTCTTTTTGATTAAACTTATCTGAAACTCAGGTATGACTAACACCGCTGTTTAAACCTGTACCAAGGGGGTTCACTGTTGAAAATATGGATTTTGATCATTCCAATAATTTGTTAAGCAATTCTGGAAATTTTTAAGTGTAAGTGCAGTCAGTGGCTAACGAACTCCAAGTTCAAAATAATAGTACCTTATCACATACCGTCCCGGTTTGAGTGAGCAAGGCTGAATAGATTTACATTTTTAGTGTATGTCGTGAAAAATGTAGATAGCAAAAATGTACGGCAACGGAAAAGACACGCGAAAAGCAGTTACAGTTTACCTGCACTTTGGAGGCTGCTCCGATAGTTCACACATTGCATTGCAAAACATATCAATCATAGATTGGTGAACTCGTTTTAACATTTCATAAGAGAACGGCACTTCATCGATAGGAGTTTTACATGAATGATACATCTAAAAAAATACCCCGTTAAGAAATGAGTTTCAGATTGCGATATAGGTAAGATGGATAATTAAATTAAAACATCTGGTATAACCTCGAAAGGATAGAACCATTTCTCATTCACGTAAATACGCTTAGATAAATAATTTAGCTCGATGACTCTGGAATTTTCCACATCTTTCGCAAAATAAGAACCTAGCATTTCAACAACAAAAGCAAAAGTTATATTTTCTCACTATAATTTACTTGTGAAGTATATTTTATACAGAGTCTAGCAATTAAGCATGTCAAAAACCACAACAAGATGGCTCATCCCTAAAGGGGAATGCGAGAAATGCTAAACGGAGAGGGGTTTTAGTAGATGCAACTTCCATGACACCAACATCAGGTGGCAGAATCTTCTAACTCCTCGAAAGTGGACTCTTGTATCCTGAATTAGATATTTGTGCTTCAGTTCCACCTCAGCACGCTCAACGTAGAGAAGTCTGTATAATGTAAACAAATATAAATTGTACACAACTCTTCTGCAGATAAAGGGCATTTTTTTAAAACCAAAATCGCTTAGCAAATCTTTGGGCAGTACAGTAACAGGCTATATTTATCGCGAGTAAATACACAAGAGTTGATTTTTAATCGGAGAATTTTATTTTTAGACGAAAGTTTTGTTGCAACGGAAAAAACTAGAGATCAAAAAATCGCGACATTAGTTCCCAGAATTTTAAAGATAGGAAAATTTTTATCTCAATTTTCTTGATCAATTTGTTTTGTTAATGCATTTGTAACAGTTCAGATTTGATTTATTGGGGTTCCGTTTATTTTTATAAAAGATTAATGTAATTATCTAGAGATAAAGTTACCTTTTAATCGAACAAAAAACTGTTGTATTTTAGAGAAGAGAGCGTCTTGTAGCGAAGCTTTCAATGGTCTATCGTGTTTCCAGACGAAACCTTTTGTCAATTGTGAGGCAGGGGTGCTGTCAAGGGTGCTGTCTTTTTAAAATTGGGTTTGATCGACAAGGAGAAGTCCATGGTAATCAAGAGTCCAGCCTAGTTGGAGTTCCATGCTTTAAAGAAATTGTACGTAGCAGTTTGCAATAGCAGAATTTTTTTAAGTAAGATTTTATGTTTAGTTTCATTTGTGGTTGTAGAATAAATGTTGTGTGTGTGAAATCATGCAATCATGTGTTTATTTGATCCCTTTACAGACTCATATAGATGTCACATGCTAAATTATGATTAACTTTGTTGATCCGTGCCCAAATTTAATTTCGAGTAGCTTCAAAATGTAGTATAAGTGATCCTTTTGGAGTTTAAGGAATTTGATCGTTACCATTGTTTGCTTAGAATCAGTAATTTAAAGTCAGAATTGAATTTCTTCTTAATGTGCCGGGATACGGATGTGTACTGCGAGAGATATAATTAAAGAGCTTGAGGTTTGGAGTGTTTTGTGTATGGTTCACTTTGGCCGGGATCATTACACACACCATTTTTGTTTGCTCGTGGCATTGCATTTATTTTTGGTATGTGGCCCTAAGGTGCAGAGTCACAGCAATATTCTTATAAGTCTCCGTATACCCCACCTGAAGTTTAAAATATGCGATATGTTTGCCTTTACTTTACTGCGTTCACTCCTCCAGATGCAGCATAGGGTCTTATGGACTATATGCTCCTCTTACTAATTTCAAAAAAAATATTTCTATAAATAAGAAAGCTTTGACTCAACTGCGCCACACGGACAGGCCTTATATCTTACATCCCTCTTATGAATAAATTTGTTATGCTTATGACGGGCATTGGAAAATTCCTTCTAGAGGAGTCCACACGCAATTATTAAATATGATATAAGTCTTTCGGCCAATTTAGCAAGATCGAGTCCTTTGAGAATTTTCTGCTTTCAATAAAAATTTAATGCACTTTATTAAAGGGACTCCGATCTTTATTTTTTTATACAAATTAAAAAAATTCTAAAACCAATGGTTTTCCTATGGTACAAAACGGAAAGGCCCTTCTTCAAAAGATGACGCTTTAAAGCTGGACAATATAGAAGCGAACAATTACAGAAATACTGTTCTTCCTTGTACTAACGGGCGATTAAAAATGAGTGGCGTTCAAGTTGCTTTTGCAAGTTTAAGTTAAGTACGATTTTCGATTTTCGATCGCCCAGTATTCCCTTTTGTTGTATGGAATATGCAATCAACCTTCTATTTATCTCGACTGCATTCAATCTAGTTTTCCGCTATCATTATACGAGTTACTATAAAAGCCGAAAAGTTGAAGGCTAAATTCCAAAACTGGTGAATTTTCGCTTTCGAATTAGAGAACAGTTATCCTAGGTTCGAGAGACCAATGGCCACAGGTTCTGAATAATTCCACGTACTTCGCCCCTTACTGTTCTATGGGAAACTGGCTCGGTCATCACACATTTGGAGGATCTAGAAAGCATTAAGTACCCAGGCCCTTTCTAGGGAATTTTAGGACCATCACAGCAATTTCCAGATCATGTAAAGAGATTTCTACGATTTCATCCCAACTTCATAGGCCCTTAAAAGCTTTCTAGACTCCTCCAAGAGCATTCATAGCTGTCACGAGTTCTAGGTAGTGCACAGAAAATACTTCACATATTAAGAAAAGATTTAATTCGCCCCTGAAATCCGCATTCGATTTCCTAGAAAACGCTAAAAGGTTCTGAAAACCTTTACGCGTTTCTAAAAAACCCCTTGTAGGAGTTTGCGTTCTTTCTCAAAGCTTTATAATCACTTATCAGTGTCTTTTCCTAAGCTTTTATAAAATCTCTACGCTCTGGAAACAACCTAAACAGCTTCAGAGAACCTTTTTGAACTTGTTGCAGCAAGCCGAAATCTTAGCTTTTCCAAACGTTATGTTGTAGAGCTTTCTTTCACCTTTTTTTAAAGCATTCCGTAGTTGTGCGATTTCAAGAGTAGTTCTCTCTTAGGACGTTACACCATTTGTCTTTAATTGAACAGATTTTTTTGGGGTTTAAGCCCGGTATGGTTTGGATTAATCTCTATAGCTGCTCATTCGATTAAACGCATCAAAGCAATTAGATTAGACGTATTAAATACACAACGATAACCAATCACGAAGACCTTTGAAACTGAGTTCTTTAAGGTCAAGTAGTACCAAACCAATAATGAGTGCGCCAACACTAACGCTCAACGATAGGAATCGAATTCCCGTCGTTGGTTTGGGAACATCAGGGGTAAGTGGGCTTCTCTATTGTGAAGTTTCGCTTTTATTGCGCTAGGTTTATGGTGATGCAATAACGCAAGCTGTGAAAGATGCGATTGACGTTGGTTACCGTCATATCGATTGCGCGTACGCGTATAAAAACGAAAGGAACGTTGGAATTGCAATTAAGGCCAAGATCGCTGATGGAACCGTCAAACGTTCAGATCTATTCCTTACAAGTAAATTGTGGTGCACGTTTCATCGCGCGGAAAGTGTAGAGGTTGCGATACGGAAATCTCTGACCGACCTACAACTAGATTACCTAGATCTCTACGTGATTCATTCGCCTATGGCCTTTAAGGTACCTAGTAAGAAATGCGTAAACTGCAATACGATCGTTTACGACTAGATTAACGAGTCACAAAGCAAAGAAAACCTGGAATTTTCCGATTATGACTACGTTCTGACTTGGAAGGCGATGGAAGCAGTTGCGAAAAAAGGTCTGGCATGGTCGATCGGATTGAGCAACTTCAACAAGCGCCAAATTGAACGAGTTCTCGAACGAGCCGAGATATTACCAGTAGTGAACCAGGTAAAACAAAACCTTCCCAAGAATGCACTAATCCAGGTTACAGGTCGAATGCCATCCATATTTAACTCAAACCGAAATGATACAATTTTGCCATTCCAAAGGCATACAGGTTATAAGCTACTGCCCATTAGTCTCGCCGGAACGAATGGGATCCAATAAACACTTACCAAAATTACTGAATGAAAAAATCTTGAACGAAATCGCAGAGAAATATTCCAAATCACCAGCTCAGATTGCGTTGAGGTGGCAAATACAAAGAGGGCTCGTCGTCATCCCGAAGTCCGTTCACAAGAATCGCCAGAGGGAAAATATTGGGATATTTGACTTTGAATTGACCAAAAACGACATGGACGCCATCAGTGCCCTTAATTCCAATTTAAAAGTTTTCAATTTCGCCGAGTAAGTGTAGAATGTGGGAAAGTTTAATTGTTCTACTTTTTTTAATGCAGTACACGAACCCATCCATTCTATCCATTTAGCGGGAAATACTGAATATTCGTCCTAGAAGGAATTATTCGAAACGAAAAACCAGAAAATTACTGTAATTGAATGAATAAAATACTACACAAGATGCACCAGTAATTTCTCTTGTTGCTGCTTCAATTTCCTTTTTAGTTTTTGTCTCTCCTCCACATCGTTTTTTTAGGTATGATTTATTTATTTCTTGATTAATTCTTGGTAGGTACATCGCCTATGTTCTCATGTGCACAGATAACCTGCACCCAACTTTCGTAAACGCATGGAAAATTAAATGAGAGAAAGTGTGGAATATTTTTTCACTGTTTCCATCATCGTCATTCCATTTACATTTTTCATCCCTTATCACTGTTGTCTTCATGAGTCTTACTGAATCAACATTTACCTTGTTCCCTCTCCAAAATCTTCAGAAGCTCAAGCTCCACATCTGAAGGAGTATTTGAACCCTTTAGGTCTAGAATCTTCCAAACCACTACAGTCCAGAACCGTCATAGAATATTCTTATGATCTTGTCCTCCTTTCTCTTTCACCCCGGACAAGGGTGCGGTATCCTGCGATAGGGAATTTTATTTATTTACGTAATTGGAAAGAGCCAACCCAAACACATAGAAAAATTCGAAAAAGAGGGGAAAATTCGTTGGTCTGTTAGTTTATTTGAAAAATTTGAAAAAAGGAATGTTTAATTGGCCCCTGTACCATCCACCTTAAGGGGGGCTGTAGGCGAAGCTTATTCATTTCGTCACCGGATTCGCTGGCCGTCCATGATTTTCTAATAGGCATCCTAACTTTTGGCGTACTTGTCATATGAGATTATTGTCACATCCTTCATTATCAAATAAAGGCTGGAATTCTTTAGCGCATTTTTGAAGAAAGTGCAAGTGCAGTCTAACTCTTTTTTTCTGTCAAAATTATGTTCGCGCCTGCACATTTATATTTTAACCATTGAGTGAAGCCACGAGTGAATTAACTTTCAGGAGATCGTCAGTTTCGCTATATCGTCGTGCATAATACATAACATTATTTTATAGCAGGAGCCATATAAATCATTGTAAAGTTTCTGACAAATCTGAATTTCATATCTTGTGAACGCCATTCTATATCGTGTTCCGTGTCCCATTTGGAATAAGAGTGACAGATGTCATTAGAATGCACAATCATCTGTTTCACCATATCTACCCTAGGCTCTAAAATAAACATTTTTATTTGCAAACTTTAAAATCATGGATCTCACGAATAATGTAACTCAAAATAAACTAGATCCTGTACATCTACACTATAAATAACAGAAAGCTTTTAGTCAAAATTAGAAGTCTCTAGCTATTGTAATTGCTGACATCTCAGCCGGACAGACAGTCAGTCAGCCAGCCAGCCATAACGAATATAATAGCGTACTTTTTTTAAAATGCGCTAAAAATGCAAGAGTTTCCGAAGAGATTTTGATAGTATAATCATCAGAAAAATCACTCGATGTTCCTGGTAATCGTTTATTGATTATGGTAGCTGACGAAGTTAAAGATTTTCTCATATTTTTTGGGTTTAGTACACATTATATGAACTGATTTTCCAAATGTAAAAAGTTACGTGTAAAAAATAGGATTAAACATCTTACTAGAGTGCAGTGGCCAACGGTTTTACCACTCGTTTGATGTCGTAGTGTAAAAATATCGTTTTTTTAATTACATGTAACGGCCGTTCCTGAACTAAAGGTGGCAAAGCTCTGTTAAAAACAAATTTTGAAAAGGTAAAACTTAAAACATAAAAATAGTCGAGTCAAAAATGTCCATTCACTTGGTGGTAAGTAGCGTAGTCATCCTGGAGTTAGTGCTTAGATCCTTAAAAGATAAACTTAAGACAGGTCTTGTGATCTCTAACTACAATTTGGACATACCACCTGTAACGGTAGCTGTTAATTGGTACCTTTTCGAATTTTTTTATGAAGTTACAATTTTGGAGATTTTTAGGGGGTGCATTGAGACTGCGAAGAATTAAATTTAGCGATCGGATTTTTCTGCGTATTTAAATTCTACAGCTTGTTGACCTCATAATGAGTTCAGGAAGTCTCGACGTCAAGAGCCAGATCTGAAGTCGTTTTATCTGCTCCAAACCGCAGAGTATGGATTAGATCATTGTCCACATTGTAAAGATGCAATTCATCCGAGTTCTAGTGCGTGCGTTTCTTAAGTAACGGCCGACTCTGGGGGGTATAGCGACAAATTGGTCTTTTAATTACCAGAGTAAATGTTTCAAAAGGCGTTTATTAATTAATAAAGATGAAGAATAGATTATTCCGGGGGTTTTTCATGGTGGCATTACGGGTTAAGCCGCGAGAAGGATCGTTAGCAAAGAGCTCAAGATAGATAGAACGCAATTTTCTGAACCTTCGCCTTTGAGTTACGGGAGAGCTAATCGTACGACTGAAAATATTTTATTTATATTAGTAACTTTCGATGTCACGTTCCGTTTGGTAGTGGTAAAATTATTCTAAATATCAGCAATTGGAAAAAGATTATTAAAAATTAGGGTGTAAAATTGTTACTTAGTGAAAACTTCTCCTCTTGTGGTAGAAAAGTTCAGCACAAATTTATAAACTCTTAACAACAAACTTGCGTGGTAATAATTTTTTTTGCTTGCATGCAATATATACATAGAAGGTTAATCGCGGGTAAATACACAAGAACTTGATTTTTAATCGGATAATTTTAATTATCCTGATTTAAAACCAAGATCGAGTGTATTTTCGGGAGATTAATAAAAGACAGTAAATAAAGGTTTACTGAACCAGGTGGACTCAAATTTATCCACCACACTGCGAATAATCCTTTCGATAGGACGATTATACCATACCATACTATGGGCGAAGTGAGCCGAACATTGTCCGAATACACACACATTTTGATAAAACAATTTTATCATTGGTGAGGTGGTGATTTGGCTAAACAGAATAAATGACAGCCAGTTGGATAGATGGGTACATGTACCAAAATGTGTGTGTTATTCGAACCATTTTTTATTCCTATAACGGTGGGTTCAATCTGCTAACCTGTTGGTGCCCTCTGTATAGACAGATTACTTTGGTGCAAAGTTGCACCAAATTATCGCACGGGAACCAAACAAACCGCAAATGGGGGCGGTTTGTTTTATTTACAACGTTTCTCATAAGGTATTTTTATTTTATGACAAATCCTCTACCAACCGCACTACAGCTTATTGAAACATATTTGTTATTTATTGCTATCTCAAAGGTACCTCTATCAACTTTTCTGGTCTTGGACACATTCAAGTGCCATTCATCACATGTTTCAAATACGGTATTGTTTCTACTGTCAATTTACGGTTGAATGGTTGGAGTTTTTAAAACCTTTTGCAATAAAATCGGCTCCAAGCGTCTAAAATCACCTGAACGTAAATTTGTTCAAATTTCCGATTTAATGATAGCCTTTTCCTTCAGGCCGTTGTAAACCTATACGAACGGCATAAATATGATGTTATTGACACTGATTTAACCACTATTTACACGAAGGTTACCCACAACCTTGTATCTCGATTCCGGTCTCGATGCGTTTTCCTTTATATATCACACGTATACCATAACCGATCAAGAAGTCACGATGGAAGCACCAAGAATCACCCTTAACGATGGCAATCAGATACCAGTAGTTGGTTTGGGAACCTCACAGGTGAGCTACACGAATTAATCGGGAAAGTGGTCAAATTAATTTTAAATTAGGAGCACGGTGACGTGGTAGTTCAGGCGATAAAGGACGCCATCGACGTCGGTTACCGTCACATCGACTGCGCGTACGCCTACAATAACGAGAAGAGTGTTGGAATCGGAATTAAAGCCAAGATCGACGATGGAACCGTAAAACGTTCGGATCTCTTCATCACGAGTAAACTATGGAATACTTTTCACCGTCCGGGAATTGTAGAGCATGCCTTACGAACGTCGCTCAAAAATTTAGGTTTGGATTATGTAGACCTTTACTTGATCCACTGGCCGATGGCCTTCAAGGTAAGCGCTTTTATTGTTTTCGGCCGTTACCACTATTTCCCACAAGGAAGTAGACCCCTTCGAGGAAGGCGCACCCAAAGAAATCGAGTTCGCAGACTACGATTACGTCCCCACCTGGAAGGCGATGGAGGAGCTTAAGAAAAAGGGTTTGGCAAAATCAATTGGTCTCAGTAACTTCAACAAGCATCAGATCGAAAGGGTCCTAGAAAAAGCCGAAATCACACCAGCGACCCTTCAGATGGAATCCCATCCGTACTTAACGATAAACAAGGTGATTGAGTTCTGTCAGTCAAAGGGCATACACGTTGTCGCCTACAGCCCGTTCGGTTCTCCGGGTCGCTTCGCAAACAATCCAAACTTTCCGCGTCTGCTGCAGGATCCCCGACTGAACGAGCTCGCCAAGAAGTATTCCAAATCTCCGGCCCAAATCGTGTTAAGGTGGCAGATACAGAGAGGAGTCGTGGTAATTCCCAAAACGGTGCATAAGAATCGAATGAAAGAGAACCTGGACATTTTTGATTTCGAAATTAGCAAAGATGACATGAGCGTTATTACGGCGTTTAATTCAAATTTCAGATTCGTCCATTTTCAATCGTAAGCATTGCGGAAAGATATTGTGAGCATCTTTATAACTGTGTCTTTTAGGGGCAGTACCCATCCACTGTATCCTTTCAATGACGAGTACTGATCAACAATCAAGGATTTGAAAAGCGTGGAGAATATCTCTTTAATAAACAATGTTATAGATAGTGTGTGTCTAGAATCTTTCTATTTACTTATCATTGGAGTGCGTTAAATTAGCAAACATAAAGCATTTTTTCTCAGCATTGCAACAGTGTGATTAGAATATACTTATAATCATCGCTTTGTCGATATATTTTACAAGATACACTTTTAAACGGAACATCCTATATCTTTACACATATTAAAAAAAAATTAAACCTTGGATTAAAAAAAAAACTGTTATACATAGCCACAACTCCAGTAATTAATAAGAGAGCCTTTGGTGTAAATTACTATATCCTCCATAAAAGATACGCAAAAATTATCCATAACGTATGAAAACCAACTAAAACTGCAAACCAAAATTGGCATCAAGATGTTATGAATCGGTACAAGAGTCTACCTATATTAATTTTAACAAGCATCACGCCAAGAGCGAAAATATTTTTTCTAATTAGATTTTTGTGCCGATTAAAAGCAGCATGTCATTTGTTACGTTGATCGTGCATATGGTAATTTACATTAAAGATTTAGTGCTTTGTAACTCTACCATTAACTAATTAGTGGTTATGTGTTATTGATTTTGTATCAAGAAATTAATTTCCATTCAAAATATTAAAAGATACAGTGTTCCATTATAATAAATATTATTTGGTTGAATATCACGATACCCGATTCCCTTTCTAATTTAACCACTATCATCCTGAGAAAAAAATACTGCATTTGCTAGTCTTCCTAGCTTCAATGGTAAGAAAGTTAGCAATAATGTCAGATTTATATAAGTCCCTATAAAATTATAAAGGGATAATTGCATTTTATCAAAGATTTTATTCATATTGCTTCAAAGGGTTGCAGTCAGAGCTGGGCAGTATTCGATTTTGTAAATACTTTTTAGTAGTCAAATCCTTTAAAGTATTCAAATAATTTGTAATTAAATACTTTTATGGAAGCAGTATTTGTATTTGTAACTCAAATACTTTCACAAATATTTAGTATTCGAATGCTTCGCAAGGTATTTGAATACTTTGAGAAGTATTCGAATACTTCGCATAGTATTTGAATACTTTAACCCTTTTTTACCAAAAATCGACTACATCAAAATTTCTCGGGAAAACACTTTTTCTTATTAATTTTGGTGCGTAGAATCCAAAACAATTCGTACTTTTTCGATCAGACTTCTCAATCAAAAGTTATAGACTAGAAACCAATTCGAAAGAAAATTCAAAGGGCTGTAACTTTTGAACTAGTAGCCCAATCTTGGAACTGTTTGAAATTATGGATTCTACAGGCCACATTCTATAAGGAAATTTTTTTTCCGGGTCGATCTGAGACAAATTTTTTTTCGGGGCTCAAAAAAAGGCAGTGTATAACCTTTCTTTTTTACCAAAAATCGACTACACCAAAATTTCTCGGGAAAACACTTTTTCTTATTAATTTTGGTGCGTAGAATCCAAAACAATTCGTACTTTTTCGATTAGACTCTTCAATCCAAAGTTATGGACTAGAAACCAATTTCGAAAGAAAATTCAAAGGGCTATAACTTTTGAACTAGTAGCCCAATCTTGGAACTGTTTGAAATTATGGATTCTACAGGCCACATTCTATAAGAAAATTTTTTTTCCGGGTCGATCTGAGGCAATTTTTTTTCGGGACTCAAAAAAAGGCAGTATATAACCTTTCTTTTTTAGCAAAAATCGACTGCACCAAAATTTCTCGGGAAAACACTTTTTCTTTTCACACACTCGCAAAGGCAGCCTGATGTTACTCGTTCTAAATTATCGTGATAGCAAAACACCTGGATGCCTGAGATCGCGTTAGGTTTCTTGCTCCAACATTTACTTTACGTTTGATTAACTGAACATAGGCAATGGTTCCGAGTTTTCTGCCACCTACTTAGGTGGGTGCCTACTAAACAAAACCACTGCCTACAACCTACAATTGACAGCCGAACGCATAGTTTCGCGCGGCTTAATTTTCGTTAATAATAAAGGACATACTCAAATCTGTAACTCCCAACTTTAATTTATTAAGTCCGTTCCTGGCCATCGCCCCAATCGGTTGCGTTTATTCATACCAGACCACACACAGATTTATACAGGATTATAGCTACTTGCAAATCGTATCTAATTCAATGAATTAATGTTAATTGAAAATAATTTACCTTGCCCCATTAAATATTATTAACAAAATGCTTCTAAACTACACATTTCTACATATTTCACCTATCAACGGGTATGCTTAACTACCTCCCGAACGCTTGATTTTCAAGTTAAATGTCCATTCCCATATTAAATTATGTGTTTAAGATCGTAAGCTGGCGACTCTGTTTTCTTTAAAAAATTACGATCGCTACTACGATCACTAACTCTAAGAAATAGAAAGGGTATTTATCAAGAAAAGTAGAAAATTATGGTATATATGAAGGTTAAATAAAACGGAAATCCTAATCTTCCAAAAAATAATTGCAGGGTAACCATCTTTCGCTAAATTTCGCCAATCTCGAGGTATTCATTAGATTCGATTCTATTATATTCTATTCACAGGGGAGCCCGACCAGGCAGCACTTAGGCACACCAAAGGCCCATTGTGCCCACCCCCTTTCTTTCGCAACTATGCGGTTTTAAGGATTTTCAAAAACTCGGGTTTGTTTAAAAGTCAATACACAAATTAGGATTGTTTATTTCCGATCGCGGTTCTTGTGCGGAAAAAATCCACAACAACGTCACAAGTCAAAAGATATGAGAAGTGTTTACGCAAATCTGGTTGAAAATCCCTTAATTTCACTTCTTTTGTTTCACATGCACGCCCTCAATTTAAGGCAAATTGAATAGACGAGCGCTCTTCGGATTTTATTTAAATATTACATCTGCTCTAAATTCTTTTCATTTTAACACCTTCCGTACACCATAAGGCGTCGCCGAGCAAAAACGAGGAATGCGCGCTTTGGAAAAGTTCTCTTTAGCATTCAAATCAAGCAAAACGGCAAATCAGATGTACCGATTCATTTTAAATTTAAATCAAAAGGAAAATATTGAATTAGATGGAAAAACGGGAGAGCGTTTTTCGAAGCGATCAATAATTAATATCCCCCTTGAAACGCAAAGAAACGAGTAGAAAACGTTACGTTTCCATTTTGTGATATTAATTGAATGGAATTCAAATAAGATTGACCGGAGTTTTTTTAATCAGCCAAAGTCAAGATAAAATACACAGAGAATTTCAATATTTCTATGGAGCGTGTAATTTTTTAGTATTCCTTTGTTCCCTTATTCAAATGACAATTTTCTTTCTATTCTTTTTTTTGGTGAAGCGAGGTTCTATTTATTTAAGGTGTTTTTTTAAGCACAAAAATTAGGAGAACACTCGAATTTGATTGTTGGGCACGGTCCTAGTGCTTCGTTAAGACAGTAAGATGGAAATTATGTTGAGAAAGTCTATTGTGAAGAGTTTAAGGTAACAAAGGAGATGTGCTCTTTTAAGACACTAACAACAAAATCCTTGTCATTCCGTTCTAAATATAAAAGAACGGAAATAATAACATCTCGAGTGCTTTCAAAATCCTACATTTACTTGACAGGTACACCTAAGCAAACAACGGCGCAAAATTTTCCGTTACACAAACTTTTGCGGTTGCGAAAATATAGATGGGTAATTCGGGTTTGATTATACGGTTTCTAAATTATACGAGAAGTGACATCTCCGTGTGCAATTAAGCAGCTTCGTGTTACGGTTTATGACTGAAGGCATTAATGAGAGTCGTCGGCCGACAAGCGTCGCGACGCCGTTAGAATTTTCTGAATAGGTATTGATGAAAGTTGAATAATGTGCGAAAGCGCTGTTCTTTTCAACAATTTATAATACTGTTTACACACACAAGCATATGGAACGTCAAAGTAAATTATGAAAGTCACTGCACTCACGAATTTTTTTTCGAAATTCCTGTTTGACGACGGGCTTTGTGCTCGCGGAGATTATGAAAGAAGTGATTTTCTATGGGTATTCTTAGTAAACGGTTTATACCTGAACGCTTTTGTGGCTTAACAGCTGTCAAAGAAGATTAAAGATTGGCGTATATTTGTTCAGTCCTCCTTGATGTTATTGCATGTCGATCGTACTCAGGTGGTTCGAGAAAGTCTCTTAATCGATGGTAAGGGACTTATCTTTGTCCTAATTAAAAGTTGGGTTAATCTCTTCGGAAGATGTTTATCTTGAGAATTTGGTTAGTATTATAAGTCAGAATAATGGTTCTCTTACACGCAGGTTTCGTCTACTTCTCGAATATCCCCATTTTAGAATTTCCAGCTAAAAAACTGACTACTACACTATATACTCCATTTTGCATCAAAGCATTGAGGGAAACGCCAGCTCGCAAAAGAAAAAAATTTTGACGTAAGTTGGTGCCGTCCATTGGCCGATTATTACCTATAAGACGGACGCCGTTGGCTATGGCCTAGGGGATGAAAGGGACAAAGGATAGGGGTAGGGTAGTTCATAGATTTTATTAACGAAAGCAGTCCTCAACTACTCAACTGTAATTAACCCACTCACATGCATAGCAATCTTCGATTGCAAGGGTTGTACTTTTGTGGTACACCAAATATGTACATAAGAAACCCCAACTGCCAGCTAAAAACACAATTTGCTTCTAGTTTTGAACATAATTTTTTAGAAAATGCACGCTTATGTGGTTGGCAATCCTCGAATGCAGGGATTGTACCTTTTATGTTACCTACATAAAATATTTCTGTACTTTGGTAGGTTTGGTAGGTAGAATAGGTCGTAAAGTATATGGTGATGGTGATTATATAGTTCGTGGGGCGGGCGAGGTGCCGAAACCGACCCTACGTCTTCAAAAAAGAGATTTTCCAAAAGCGATATGAAGTTCGAGGGGTCTGCTAGTACAATAATAAAAATCTCAACCGTATAAAAAGTTTACCATTACAAAGACAAATGAGCCGTTAAAGGTTTGAGTCAAGAAATATTTTTAGTGGATTTTGGCATGCAGGATCCCTAAATCACAATCGTCA